CCTCATGTTGTGGAAGCTGTCCTCAGTAAAATGCGCAGCACACAATAGCAAATTGGGGTTATAATGCTCAGGAACAGAGTTAAAAAATAAATTGCAACCACTGTTTCCTGACAGCATCCGCTTTCGGAAGCCCAAACAAAGACGTTTGGGCACGGAGGTGAAGAAAACAGCGTTTCAGGCGGTCGCACACCGGACGAGAAGCGCAGCGTCGCGTCGCGCCACGTCTTTAAAATTCGAATACATTATTTTCTGAGTGTAGGCACACCGGCGGCGCCGTTCGGGGGCTGTCCGCGGCGCCCAGCTACGTCATGTTGTACTTGTAAGAATTGTTCTAGACATGTCTACAGTTTGACACTACAGCACAGCAGCTCTTCTTCTTGGGTTTTCTCTGATGCACTCACTCACTCAACCAAGCGTTCTAACCACAACCTCGATTTTAACCTAAAAAACAAACCCAAGTACATAACTTCTAAGGAATTAGAAGTTATTAGGAATTATTACTGTAGTTTGATATTCTTGACAGCTTTCTGTTGATTTCTCAGTTTTGAATATGCTTCTGAGGTGGCAGTAACACTAACTATAATGAACCTTCACAGCTTTGCATTCAGCATGCCAGCTGTAAGAATTTGGTTTTGTCAATCCACCAATAGTCCTTAAATGAATGGTAAGTGGTTTGGAGATGTGTATTTTGCTTTTGGAAACACATGCTCTTTAGTAGCGCCAAGATTTTTTTTTAGACACAACTATTCCTTTTCTCTGCTTTCACAAATATCACAATAAGGCCTTTATTTGTGTATCATAGTGACAGAAGAGAAGTATTTGAAAAAGGCTGGTTTAAATTCCCTAGAGCTCTTGAGCATGTGGTAATGATTAACTTTTGATTCTTGATTTCTTTGTGCAATGCTTTAAGAACATAAGAAAATATGTTCTGCGTGTATTTTTGTTTTTAATTCCAACTGGAGTTTTAATAGAAAGCATATTTGATACTGCATGGATATATCTTAGGTATCTTTTATTTCCAGTCAAATATGAATACTCATATAAATGAAATACTCAGAGCTATAAAAACAAACGCAATCACATCAGTATCTCTGTATCATGGCTTTTATTCTTTGCAGTGAATTTGGCTTTGTGAATTCAATTGCTTTGCCTTTCATTTTGGCTGTAGTAATGTCACTGGCTATCCTTGGCATAAATATGAAAAAGCAAATAAATTGATATTGGCATATTAGAATCTAATGTGATATAAGATGAAGAAGAAGATAAAGGCGCCCTGTTTTATAAGGACTCCTGTAAAGGCTGCGCTTGCCCGTGGCCATCTTCTTACAGCCAGCAAATTAAGAGACTGCAAAAAGGTCACCTTACATACCAATCTCAGCCCTGAACAGACAGAGGTTCTCCTCCTTTGAACAAGAAAATCTACATAGTGTTCCCAGATCTGCCTGGTTAAAGCTACTTGATCCACATCCTCCTCCGCTGACTAAATTGGGCCAGTGGGTCGAAAGCAGTGGAGCCTTGTGAAAAAGAATCACTAGTTTGCATGACTGTGGGCAGTCTCTATCAATCAGAAACACAATGCTTAGAGGGAGAAACCGAGGCTCCGATATTCAGCAGAGCAGCCGAGTAGAACCGGTGTCTCAAGTAGTGACGGGAACCATTTTATTAAAATGGATCAAATGATACTTTGCCGTTTTTGCTGACAGTCATCTCATAACTGAAGTTTATGTTTATGTGATTTTGTTTATTCCTTCCAATGATACTTGGCAATAAAATAACTTTGGCACCATGCAGCACACTCCACTCTCAAAATGTGTTTTTCAGATAGTCGAAAAACTGTGCTTCATGTGCTCAATCAAATGGTTTTATTCGAGTAAAAAATTATTTCATCGTATTATATTTTTTTTTACATTGAATTTAATTGTATTTATTTAATTTGAAAACCGATTGATCCTCTCCGACTTTTTTTATTAACAATTTTGAATACTCATATTTTATGTTTATGTGATTTTGCTTATTTTGCCGAATGATATTTAGCTCTATATATACTGTATGTGTGTATATATTTTAATATGATTATGATTTAA